TATTTACATCTGAATGCAACACATTTGTAAAAAGATGTCAAAATAAACAGAGGAAGATCTTATTTACAATTGGAAGATGATGTTCCTGTTCATTCATTATAGATTTCTACTGCAGAGTTCCTATTTTCCATTACAAAATATTAAGGACTTTCCACTGGGACTGTATCCAAGTCATGTACAGCTGTATAAAACAGAAGCACAGCAGAAAACTCTGGACTGAATATAAATAATTTACATTGTGGAGGGCAACAGCATCTTTGATTAATCTCCTGTGGCAAAATCCATACTTGCTTCCCTTCTCACAGTGAGCAGGCAGGAACAGGGTCCAACCCCCCACAAGCTCTATTGTTTCACACTTGTGATTGCCAGAACATATTGCAAACTTGGAAACCTTCTAATAAAGATACTTAGGGTGAGGCAGAAACAAAAGCCTTTTTAAAAAAGTTATCTCAGAAAAACTGGTATCAGCAAATAATAAATGGTGTCTGTGTAACTGAGCAGGGCTTGCTCACAGAGAGTATGAATTTGTATGGTCAGGTCCAAAAACCTCTGCTAGATCTTTCACCAGTTCACAGAGGAACCTTGTCTCAGTGGGAATAAAGCCTTGTGCTCTGAGGTTTCCAATTTATGGATTGCAGAGGCAGTAGGAAATTGCAAACACCCTCACACAAACCTGTGTCTGCTTCCCATGCTGGGTGATGGCAGTGGGAGAAGGGAAGAGTGGGAGGTGGTAACAGGTCAGGTGACAGCAAGGAATGGATCTCCTTATAGAATTGTATCAGCAAACAAAACAAATTTGACTGGTCTGGCACAAACAGAGCCAGTGTTACTCTGCCTTGCCAGGGGAAGTAGGATCATTATTGCAGTGATGAGCATGAAACTTCCCAGGGGAACAGCAAGAGATGACAGCTCTTAGCCCACTCAGCATCCAGGAACAGTGGGAGTCTGACTGAGCCCTTGAGCCAGGACTGCACAAGTACCTCAGGAAAGGTGAAAAGACAACAGGAGACCAGAAATAATTAAATGGCCCCTCTTCTCCAGCCATGGCCTCTGCAAGTTGCCCTGCCACATGACTTGTTTCCTGCAGCAGCACTACAGACACCAACCACAGCAGCAGCAGCACAGCTTTAAAGTGCAGTAGGAAATCTGTGCAAACTTCTGGAGGCTCGGGACTAGCACCTGCTTTTACTTTTTTTCAGAGAGGTGCTCTTCCACCTGGGCAGCAGAACAGTGACAAGCTGGAAGTCTGAGCTGGAAAACCCATTCCAGCCCCCAGCTCAAATCACTCCAGCTCTCTTTAACTGTTCCTAAATGAGGTCTTTTCTCTCAAGAAAAAGGTATATAAATATGAACACATTACTATTTTATTGCCTGCTTTCAAATTAGTCTATCTCTGCTCTTACTCTCCTAGGCTGTTTAAGGGATTAATATGGACATACATGCAATCCAGCCCAATATTATTTACTGTTGTTTGTTGAAGTCATATAGGCCAAGCTGAAACCCAGAATCATGCAATGCCTGTCAGCTGTGGCACTCCCAGCCCAGAGTTAGTGCCCAGCCTTTCCCTTCCACTGCTGATTTTTCTAAATTAAGCAGTACTGGGTATTTTTCCTTCCTTCAAAGCCAAAACAAACCCTGTGTAAGTAACCTTGAAAGAAGTACTATGGAGGAGAAAATGCCATTCTCATGCTAACAAATCACATTTAAACTCACAAAATCTCTTCCAAGTATATACTGAAAAACAAAGGAACCGTTAATTGCTGAGTAGTCCTCAGGAGAATAAGAAAATTGATGTCATTGATGCTTGCTGAAGAAAATGTGTTAGCTTGTCAAATGGTTTTCACAACAAGTAAACCAGAATCATTCCATCTGCAGAAGCTCCTTTTTCAAGCTGCCCTCTCCAAGCACAGATCAAGGTAAGGTGATCCTTATCAACCTGGCAGCTAAGCACAGCAGGTTCAATGGGAGGGGAAGGGAAAACTGAAGAAAAGGACTCATAAGATGTTGCATTTGCTTCTCTTCCTGAGAGCAGAGCCTGAGGCCCTGGGCAAGGAGTGAGACACCAACCTGTCAGTGCCACAAACTGACCTACAAAACTGAGTGCAAGAAGCCCAGTAGATGTGGAATGGCAGGGGGGATTCGTTTACAGTGACAAGGAAAACACCAAACAATTTAATAATTAAAAACTAACTGAAATTTGACATCTAATTTCCTCTCTTTTGATGTGAAATATCCAGTCCCCCACTGTCCCTCATAAAGACAAAAGAGCATGAACAAGAGAAGCTGAAACCCACAAGCTGCTCTCAAACCAGAGGACCAGGCCAGATTCAACATTCAAAGCCCATCTTGAACAGTCAATTATGCCAAAAGGCTACACAACAGATCCAATTTTTCTTTAATTAAAGTTATCTAGAGGCCAGTCAGCAGTGTAAATATCAGAATTTGGATGAATGTGTTGATATGAGGCCCTCACAGAAAGGTCTGCCTGCATTTCTTGTCACAGAAGTCTCCTGATCCCACATTGATGCCAAGGGACCTTTTAGTGTCACTTACAGAATGAAAAGAGACTCTCACAGAACTTCAACAGACATTCTTATGTTCAGGGAGGGGAATGAAATGATATTTCTCCATCCTATCTCATCAGGTTCAGAAAAAGGCCCGAGGAGGACGACAAAGTGCCCTGTCACAACAAAATACAATCCTCCAGAGAAGACCAAGGATCACACAGTAAGTACTACTCAGCCACTCGCTGCAAAATTGTGCAGTTCCTGCAAAATCCCAACAGTGATTCCCTGCACTGCAGGCCTCCTGTGAGCAAGCAGGAGCTGGTTTAGGTTGTCTTCGTAAACAGAAAGTTTACAAAGTTTACAAAGTTTACTGACACTTCCTCTTCAGAAAATAATGTGCAGCATGGAAAAAAATCAAACAAAATCACAGCTGATGTATTCTATGATGAATACTCAGGGCTGCATTAACCTTGAGAAAATAGCAGTAAATATGAGGAACAAGAAAATAAAACAGATATTTTAGTTGAAAGGAACCTATAGTGATCATCCACTCTAATTACCTGGAGTGCCTCCATCCACTTCAGGACTGAGCATGTTGTCCAAATGCCTCTTAAACATGAGGCCTCAACCACTTTTCTAACAAGCCTGTTCAGTGTCTGACCACCCTCCTGGTAAAGAAATGCTTCCCAATGTCCAATCTGAACTTCCTTTAGTGCCCCTTTGAGCCATTTCCATGTTTTATCAGTGGATCCCAGAGAGAATGGATCAGCACCTCCCTCTGCACTTCCCCTGTCAGGGAGCTGCAAGAGCAAGGAGGTTCACTGTCTATCCAGATCCCTTTCCAGAGCATCTGCCAACAGCATCTCTGAGTTTGGTATCATCAGCAAACTTGCCAATGGTGTGTTCAGCTCCTGTATCCAGATCAATGATAAATACATGGGATAGAACTGGCCCTGGAACTGAGCCTCAGACAACACTGCTGGTGATCAGGTGCCAGCCAGACATGGCCCCATTCACTGTAAGACCTTTGAGCTCTACCCTTCAGCCAGCTCTTCACCCAGCACACCATCAACCTGTCAATCCCACAGCTGAACAGCCTGTCCAGATGGATGCTGTGAGGGACAGTATCCATAGCATTACTAAAATGGAGAAAAACTACACCCACTGCCTTCCTTTCACCCACTAGGTGGGTGACCTTATCACAGAAAAGTCAAATTAGCTAGACAGGACTTCAACTTTGTGAACTCAGGTTGCCTGTGCCTGATGGTTGCATTATTCCTTAAAACTCCTTTCAACAGTACCCAGGATAATATTCACAATTTTTATTCCTTAATTTATAATATTCACAATTTTTCCAGGTGCCCAGACTCTCACAGTCTGTAGGTGCCTGTGTTCTTCCCTCCTGCCCTTTCTGTAGATTGGAATAACACTGGCTACCTTCCTGTCGGCAGGGACCTCCCAGATCTTCTGTAGATGATCAAGTGGGGTCCTGCTGTATGTCCTGCTTGCTGGCTGCTTCAGTACTCTGGGATGAATCCTGTCTGGCCAAGTGGATCTGTGGACATTCAAGCATTACAACAGGTTTAAGTTTCTAGGCTCTCTCCAGTTTTGATAGACATGATAAAGTAGTGTAGTTTTCCCAGCAGAGAAAACAAATATGGTTTTCTGTGAATGTCTGGAATGATGAACAGGATTAGCATCTTTATATGAAGTCCTAGAAGCCAGGGCTTGATTTTCCACTAGTTTGTCTTGAAAGCCAAACCCATTGCTGCACACACAATTCCATTTACAGAGAGCCAGAATGGGCACGTCTCCTCACAGACAAGTGTGTGTGACCACAGGGTGGCTGCTGCTCCAATCCCCATCCCTACCATCCAGAACCCATGGGACAGCCACTGTGAGAGCTCACCTCACCTCTGAGGCAGAGCCTTTGAGACCTCCTGCACTACAGACACCCCTTTGGTCAAGAGTCTCACCAGGGACACCCAGACCTGCAGCTGGCTGGGCTGCTTGGAGGCTGAGAACTGACTCATTCCTAACCCCTGCACAGGCCAGTGGCTGCCACTTGGTGACTGCACTGTGGCACAGACAAACTGCCTTGCTGTGAACTGAAATACTCAATTACTTATGAGAAACAGAGAACTCATGCACCACTTAGATTTAGTGTCTTAAGATAAGCTCAACCTGAATTAAATCATGATTCCAGGCAGAAAGGGTGCTGGTTGACAGCTGGCTGAACATGAGCCAGCAGTGTGCTCTCTCTGGTGGCCAAGAAGGCCATCCTGGCCTGTGTCAGGAATGGTGTGGCCAGCAGGAGCAGGGAGGTCATCCTTTCCCTGTACTCAGCACTGGTGAGGCCACACCTCGAGTGCTGTGTCCAGTTCTGGCCCCTCAGTTTGGGAAGGACCTTGAGAGGCTTGAACACATCCAGAGGAGGGCAAACAAGGCTGGTGAGGGGCTGGGAACACAAACCCTGTGAAGAATGACTGAGGGAGCTGGGGGTATTTAGCCTGAAGAAAAGGAGACTCAGGGGTGACCTTATCACTCTCTACAACTCCCTGAAAGGTGGGTGTAGTCAGGTGGGGTTGATTCTTTGTCCAGGCAGCAGCTGACAGAATAAAAGGACAGGCTTAAGCTGTGCCAGGGGAAGTTCAGGTTAGACATCAGAAAAAAACTATTCACTGAAAGATTGATGGGGCAATGGAATAATTGTCTGGCAGGGAGGTGGTAGAGTCACCACTCCACTAAAAAAGACTGGATGTGGCACTTGGTGCCGTGGTTTAGTTGATGAGGAGGTGTTAGATTAGGTCATAGGTTGGCCTTGATGATCTGAAAGGTTTTTTCCAACCTAGCTAATTCTGTGATTCCTACCCAGGATCAGAACTGTTTTACTTTACCTTGCAGGAAAACAGCAGACTGTAGGTTACAAGAGCAGAGATGTTGTCAGGACAGGCTACAGACACAGCCCAATTATTTTTGATGGTAAAGCTTCCCTACTTTCCTGGATCAGTGTAAAAGGGCTTAGCAAAACCAAAGTCTGGGCAGTCAAGCTGTGGAAAACTGTTCTAGGACCCTCTTTGTGGTCCTGTTCTTTCACATGGAGGAATATCTTCCTTTCCTCCTTTCACAGGAAAATAAACAAAACAAAGAATCCCAGGGAGCCTGCTCCGGCCCATGCCCTCACCAGGAGCTTTGTCACGTCCCAGGAGCAGCAAGATGATGCACTGGTGAGCAACACACAAGCAGAGGATGACTGCATGCCAGGGAACCTCAAGTTACTATGTTGTTTGAAGAATCAAACCCAGAATGGTACTTACAAACACATAAAAGACAAGTATTTCTGCCTTGTTAGAAGAAAAAGCACACTGCAGAGACATTAAATAAATAAAATTTACCTAATTCTTCCCTTTCCTTTAAAAGAATTAGGACCAAAATTTGTGAAAGTGCTGGAGACTCAGCCAGCACACACATTCACTCCATCTCTCGTGCATCTACAAACACATCACCCTTCCTCAAATCCCAATGTCTTCCTGTGTGTTTCACTCTCAACACATCCATGTTCCTCCTTCAGCCACAATCACACAGGTTTAGATAAAAGGTGCATTCAAGTGCAGAGTACTGATATTAACTCAGGCTCAATCCTATCAGCAATATCAAGTAAAAACCGTGCCCCCAGGAATCTCCACTCATTTTGTGGGATGTGACAGGCTCAGTACTCCTCCCATGTGCTGCCTGCTACAACAAAGGGCTGTCAGAAAGCAGAAAGCTGGTGTTAGAGCATGGGCCAAAGAAAAGTAGAGAGGGAAAAAAAAAGACATTAAGAAGGTGCTAAACAAGGTACAAAACCCACCCTGAGGTAACTTGCAGCAGTCAACAACGAAATGGCAACAAAACAAGGATGCTGTCTCTGCTGACTGCACCAGGAGTTGTGAGCTACAATGAAACAGGGACTGAGTTCAGCAGTAGCTGAAGCCACTGCTGAAACAGATATAAACAAGATTCTTAGAAACAGAAAGTCATGGGTTAAAGAAATCTAAATTTTCTACAACAGTATTTTTAATTGCTGACCATGGGAGCACACAGTCATTTTCACCAGGTAAAGCCAGGCTTAAGTTAAATGTAGGTGACACGCTTGAGACGGACAAAAGCTGCACAACAAATGCCTCTTCCAATTAGCACTGGGTTAACACAGACTTAACTTGTGTTGAAGCTCCTGAAGATATTTTACAAAGGAAAAAGAGAAACCCAAACCATTCCTAGCTCCTCTGCAGTTTCAGGTAAACACATCAGTAACAAACTGACACCTGTAGCACTTGTTTCCTATCTCCATACGGATGCTCTCACTCCATGTATTACTGAGGGTGGCCCGCCCTTACCTTGGGACAACCAGACATCAAACCTGATTGTTGGAAAATCAACAACCAGCATTTGCACAGCTCTCAATGCTGCATCCTTACCATTTCCTAGTAAGTAAGCATTGCTATAGGCACTGGTGCTTTAGAGTCAGTGAGGTGGGTGGAAACACAACGGAATATAGAAAGTACCAGAGACATACATTGAGGCAAATAAACAGTGATGCTATGAATGGTCTCTCCAGGCGTGACACTAAGATCTGCTTCCTTCTTCTTAAATATATAAACAACAAATCAGACCAGAAGTCAGTCTGCCAGTTTTCATACAGCTGAGCTGCAGTCATGACCTAAAATATGGCTTATATTGTGGGCAGGGCGGTTTGAGGGCTGCTTGGAAGAATCTGAAGCAGATGTGTTTGTAATGGAAAGCAAAGGTGACATCGCTGAGCCATCTGGAGGAAGAGCTGTGGCTATTTCTGGAAACAAAGAAGTCAAGTTAAAATTGGATAAGTGCGATGTGTTGGTCATGTGCATTGGTGGCATATCTGGAAGCAAAGGAAAACTTGGCTGAGCAAAACCAACAGGCCTGGGAGGAGACAAAATGGATCCAAATCGATTGTTTAAACCTCCACTGCTCGGCTTCTCCGTGCTTGGGTTGGGAAACATTTGATTGGGAAAGTAAGGGATGGAAATGTCATTGGAGAGGGTGGGGTGGGCAGGAGAGTAGGGTGGATAGAAGGAGGGCAGTGTGTTCTGAGGATCTACTGGGATTAGAGCTGGTGTCCGAGTGGCACTAGGCTGGGTGACCGGTGGGATGAAAGAAGCGTTAGCGTTTATTGGTGGATTCATGCCACCCTCTGGAATAAAAGGGAATCCAAAATTCTGGGAGAGCGTATGTTGGTCAGGGGCTGCGTTATCGTTGGACACTTGAGGGCCATCAGACATAAATCGGACAATGCTTCCCCTTTTTTCTATTGTGGACTGTTGGCGCCCGAGGATCATGCTGCCACTGGTGGACAGAGGAAGATGGGGAAGACTGGGGTCAAAGACATTTCCATGTCTCTGATTTCCGGATCGATTCCTTTCGGGCTGACGTATTTTAGACCCCCCATTGTCTTGCAGAGGATGCCGGGAGCGCTGAGTGACCGAAGAATTTGGCTGACGAACAGAAGGCTGCCCTTGCTCGCCATTTCCATGAGAAACTGCAGGGTGAGGGTGAGCTGGCCTCACAACTCCATGCATGTTGCTGGACACGGGTGTATTCATGTGGTTCTTAGTTCCATGACTGTCCGTCATCCTCATGGGGTTGGACTTCTGCACAGAGATGTTCGGGCTGGTATTGCGGCCCTGAATGTCCCCTGAGGAAGAAGAACTTGAAAAGGGAATAGTCAATGAACTGTTCCTTGTGTTAAGTGCCCCAATGGACATGTCACAGCTTTCCCTGCTCTGGCCATCACCATCCCTTCGGATGTGGACGCTCTCCCGTGCTGGGGGACAGTTGTACTCGATTGTGGAGGAGGCACCGCACTGCGTGTTCCTTTGATGTTCTGGGATTGATCTTTGGCTTCCACTGACTTGATCTCCAAGGTGAGGGGTGAGCAAACTCTGCATGAAACTTTGGTGGCACGTGTTTTCGTTTTCCCTCGATGGCAGGGTATTCCCTGTTGGAATACCCTGCACTGGTGGGTAGGGCAGTCTCTTCTGCCTCTCTATGGATGGCGCAGCATTCTGACCAATTCGGAACGCTTGTGACTGCATGCCCCGGAGGGAGGACACAGAATTGCCAATTTCACTGTTCCTTGAAGCCTGTACATCAAAATTGCCCGTTGGTTGTTGATTGGGTGCAGAGGGCTTAAATGTCTGGCAGTCAGAAAGACGCTGCACATCCGAGCCAACTGTGTGATCGACGGACAAGCGGCCCTGCATATTGTGAATTGCCAACCCTTTACTTCTAGAAACATCCAGGTAGCTTCTCATTTCAAGCTGGTCAGAAACCCTAGGGCCTTGAAGAGATATTCCTATTCTCTGCTCGGAATTAGAAGGCGTCTTCCCAATGAGAGCCTCAGCAGAGTAGCTGGAAACTCTGTTTCTTTCCTGCCTGTGAGGGGTGCATGTCATATCTGATGGTCTGGAAACGATACTGGCCTGGGACACCATCTGCTGCTCCAAGCCCCTCGAGGTCATAAGTCTTTGCATCTGATTGTGCCCTGACACGTGTTCTGAAGTGGAACCTTGCTGTCTGCTGCCAACATCCTGTTGCTGTTGATGCATAATATCCTGATTGATATGGCTCTGAGGGTGGTTATGGTGGTTTCTGCTTGTTGCAGGATTTTCACAGTTCTTTTCAGGCTGGGACGCTCCAAAGTGCTGCTGCATCTGCTGCTGCATTTGTTGGTGGTGAGGATGGGGCTGACCACCTTTCTGCCGTGTTTGATCACTTCCATGGTGTTTTTGCTGTAGAGAAAGCTGTGTGGCTTGTGTTCCCTGGATGAGATTCCGTTTCTTTTGCATCTGCACCTCCTGCTGTATCGTCCGCTGCTGGTGGACGCCATGGGGCTGAGTGTGGACTGCGTTTTCCCCATGAGTGACGTGGTGCTGCAGCTGGTACAAGTGGTGCCTCTCTCTTAACTGCCCAGCCTGCTGCTGCTTCAAGTAGGGGTGATTGCTGTGAAGGTGAGAGATGCCTTGGGCAGGGACATGTTGGATGGGCTGCAAGTGCTGCCCTGCCTGGCCTGGCTGCTCTGAGAGCGGTGGCTGAGAACCACACTGAACTTCAGTTTGTCTCAAAGCCGACGTTACGAAATTGCTGTTGGGTGGGAATAACCTATTGAGGCCATCAGCGTGCCCTTGATTGCTCACTGGAGCCACTGAGTTGGATGAATTAGGAGGAATCTGACTAACCAGCATCTGTGTTTGATCAGCAATACCCTCTGGGGTCCGGTTCATCAGCGCCATCCCCTCCAGCCTTATGGGTGCTGTCTGGCACTGCTTCTGCCTCTTGGCTGTAGAGAGCAGCAGGTCATCCTGAACGGCCCTCTTGGCAGAGTCTTTGCGACCTTCATGGGTTTGCTGCTTCAAGTGGGATTCCTGCAGCTGGGGAGCCTGCATGCTGCTTGCCCTGATAGCATTCAGCTGTTCCTGAGCATATTCACTCATCAGAGCAGGTCCTGGAGAGGGATTGATGTATGTGCTAGATGGAAGGGAGAGGCTCACGGTTGCAGGGATGCTTGCAGGCTCTGAAGACTGGGATAAACCTGAGCAACTCACCAGGGGATGGACAATGCGGCTCTGGTGAATCAGATTATTCACGCTTAGACTGGTTATGCTGGGTGTCTGGGAAGTGGAAATCTGCAAAGGAGTGTTTGATGTTTCCACACCTCCTACAGAGCAGCTTGGCTTCTCAACCTGCCTATCAACATTTGTCTGTACTGTATCATGAGCACTGAATTTGTTCGGTGCCACTTCCAGCGGCCCTGCATTGTTTTCTTTCACTGACTGAGGTTTAAAAGGCTGTTGCTCTCTCTCCAAAGGTGCAACCTCATTCTTAGAGATGACATCCCTAGTGTTAACCTGTATTCCTCCTCCACCTTTCTCAAGGCTTTCCTGGTCAAAAATAGCTCTCGCTGCAAGAGCTACAATGTCAGTCTGTTCTGAAAATGTGCAGCTGTTACAGGTACTGGTAGAGGTGCTGCTGGTGACATCTTCTCTGGTGGTATCTGGCAACATAGATGCAACTGAGAAGCCCCGACTGCTGCCAGAGCTGGTTGACATGGGGGAGTCTGCCTGCCTGCTAGTAATAAGGGAAGCACTGACTACTTCCTGATCAGAGATGCAGGAGTGAGGCTGGGAGAGAGTGTCACTTTCCGTGTTCATCAGCAAGAGTTCCTGCTTCTCAGACAAATCAGCATTTGATTCTGCTGATTTAGAGCTTTCCATAGGAAAATTAGAATGCTCCCCCTGAACAGTAAATGAAGAGGTTTTTTCCACAGCTGTTCTTTCTTTTGTGAGATCAGACAGCATTTTGCTTAGACCCTGTCCCTCTAACAAGTCCGCATCTTGCATTACCACTGAGGAATCCTGCGCAACGTTGCAGGACTCCGAAATAATTCCTGCCTTGGAAGTATGACCTGCTGTGCTGCTCTGTGCTGCTGAAGTCCCATTTGCAACCTGCAAGTGTGTAACCTGTGCTTCTTTACCAGAGGATGTTAAGGTGCTGGGGGGTGTGCAGGGTTTGGGGGACTCTGATGGGACAGAGGCAGGTGGTGGGTGGCTCTGAGATCCCTGCACCTGCTGGCAAGGAGCAGCATCTTTGGCCAGCGGGGGAGCGAGCAGCAGCTGCTCTGACACTACAGACTCCAGTGGTGAGGAAGCAGGCACCTCTGCTGAGCTTGGCTCTGGGGCACAGGGGGTTTTCACTGCCTGCTCAGAGCTTGCAGCCTCTTTGGAAGGAGAGTCAGAGATGCTGATGCTGCTCGCTGCAGCCGCGCCGCCCGCCTGCGCTGTGGTTACAGCCTGTGACGCTGCCGGGGCGCTTTCTGCCGGCCCTTTGCCACTTGAGGGCTTTGCCGCCATTTCCACAGGAGCACAGTCCACCTTCCCTGCATCTTTGCAAGGAGCTGCTGGGCAAGACACTTTATTATTGACTGTTAGGTGTTTCTTTGTGCTTGGCTTTTTGTTTGTCCTTTTTGATTTTGCACTGGATGGCAAGCCAGCAGCCGCTTTTTGTGGGGAAGCGTTTATGGTATTAGATACACTGGTTAATACTGAAACCTCTGCAGGCACTGAAGATGCCACAGAAGTTGGCAATGACACACAGTTGACTGTGGCAATCTGATTATTGACAGTTGCAGCATTGGTGGGGTGGCTGAGAGACAAGTGCAAGCAGCTCTGCCCAGCCATTTGTGATATGCTTTGATTGAGGTTAGCTAAAGCACCAAATGTGTTGAGGGCAACATTGGTATTTGGATCTTCGCTGGTGGTGGGCTGAATAATTTGCATAGGGGCTTGGTTTGAAGCTCCAGATGAAGACATCACAGGCTGCAATGCAAAAAGCTGCCCATTTAATGAGATAGTCTGAGGGTGCTGTTGGTTGGACATTGTCACTGAGAATGTCTGCGTAGAGCTAGAAGATGGCAAAGAAGATGGCCTTGGTAATATATGGACAAGATGTTTCCCTCCAAAAGTCTGTGGAAGAGAGGCATTTTGCATGGTGCCACTGGAGTTGGCAACTGCAGTTGGCCCATTCACGGGAACTCTTACAGAAGCAGAAGGCTGAGCAGAGAGGAGGGGAAGAGGATTCTGATTTGCAGCTTGTATAATTACAATTTGCTGACTAACATTTTGGCTGGGAACTTCCGCTCTCACAATGGGTGGGCACGGAGCAGGGTTTGGAGGCTGGAGAATGATGACATTCTGGTTAGCTGGTGCTCCTGTCACAGCTGAGGCAACTGGCTGAGCCATCTGAATCACCTGCATGGCTGAGTTTAATGGAAGGATGTTTCCTGCAGCCTGAGCTTTAACCTGTGGCTGGCTGATTAAAGGCTGTATAGGTACGGGGGGGCACGAGGGCAAGGTAACTACAATCTGTTCAGCTGCCTGGACATCCCCAGGCACAGAAGCATGCAAACTGATGCTTGTAGTCAAAGGCCTGCTGTGGGCAGAAGACACGGTGCCAGCAGCATTGACTGGCTCGCTGAGGAGGGCAGTCATGATCCCGGATGGCGTCTGGCTCAGCGGCTGAACCGTGTTTCCTGCCAGCTGCAAGGTTGTCCACGTGGTCTGTGTGTTCCCAGCTGAAGGCATCCGGGTAAGGCTACTCATGTTTTTCAAGTCTGAAGTGCCAACACCCGAAGAGCCTGAGAAAGACCAGCAGTTTTCCAGGGGACTGGCAGCCAGAGTGCTTATTGCTGTCACAGCCTTAACTCCTTCTGCCGCAGACGTCGCCGGCGCGCCAGCACTGCTGACCACGTCCGTACTTTTGGGGACATTTGCAGAAGAGCAGCTCTCTGCAGGTCTCACAGGTGGCACACGAGCTGCATCCGTGGTTGAAGTGGTGCAGCTCTCCTGGAGGTCACTCCTGGAATTGTGTGTGTTTGAGCAAGCTGCATTCACCTGCTGACCTTGGGAGGCTTCCACGGAGGCACTGGAAGGAAGGCTGGTTCCCTGCGGGAGCGTTTTCTTTGTTGACTTAGTGCCCTCCTCATCACTTTTACTTTTGGGGGGATTTTGCTCATTCTGTGGTGCGTTATTTGAAGAACACTGTAGTTCCTGCTCTGCTGCAGGCCGAGGTGTGCCCTGTGAGCTGGCAGAAGCAGCGCTGGGCACACCTCGCTCGTTCTCCGGGGGCGAGAGCTCAAGAACATTCCCTGTTGGAGCTGTCTGGGCAGACGCCAGTGGAGCAACTGTAGGTTGTGACCATGGTTTATTTTCTGTGGGATAAACACCAGCAATTGTCACAGGAGTCACTAGGTTGCAAGTTCTCTGAACTGGCACAACGTTGGCTGTTTGCTTTTGTAAATTATGACCGACATTAAACGTTATTCCCTGCACAGATGCTCCCTGGTTATTTCCATTGGGCTGAGTCCCATTTGAGTAAACAATGATGTTCTTTTGAACCTGATCACTGGGAATAACAACTGAGACCTTGGCATTTTTGAGGTTTCCTTTCCAGTGGATTGTAGGGTCATCATATAAGCAAATATCATTTGCTTTCAGTAGCTCGATGTATCTCCCGTTTTCCTTTTGCAGTTCATCCAACTGTTTCCGGAGTTTTTTTATCTCTTCAGCTACAAAACAGTGAAAGAGCACTCCATTACATCAGCACCAGAGCAAATAATGAAATAATGTTACCACATGATTTAGAGAGTAAACACTGTGTGGTATTGAAATAATTTGTAGAAATAAATTGAATAAATTGTTAATAATGTATGTTCTTTTCAAATGGTTAGCACAACCTATGTGCTCTTATCCTGATAAGTCTCTCTACTGAATGGGAAAGTGAATGAATTTCACAGATTATTTCATTACCACTAACAGGATATATCCAATTACTTAGGAAAAAGCACTAGGACTAACCCAGATGAAATTGAATGCTAATCAAAATCGTTCAATTCCTGAAGGAAAAACAAGACATTAATCTTTTTCTTTCCCCTGCTCTTTTGCAAACATCAGAACTGTTTTAATTTATAAGCTTACAGCTTTCCAGAAGAATTAAGTTTCATTACATCTAAAAATTACAGAAAAATTAAATACAAAGCACTCATATAAAGCCACAAAAGCTGGCAATGCACTTGGGAGATGGCTCACCAAACTGCGAAAATCACAATAAAGCAGAAATAAAAATCACAAACCACAACATTAGTCCTGAGACTATTTCTGTCACACCTCCATCACTGTACTTTTACACATCTATTCAAGGAAATTTTATATGATGCATTATATTTTTATAAAATGAGCTGTTGTAACTTTTACAGCTTTTCAAATTAAAAGAAAAAAGCATTATGAATGAAGAAAACTTCATCTTTTCAATGAAAAAAAATCTAACTGAAGTTTGTCAGAAATCATTGTGATCATTACAGTAGAATAAACTGGGGCAGAATTTACCAGATGATGGCACACCATCTATAAGCTCTGTAATTACTTTACATCACAATGCAATTGCTTCATTATCTGATAGCTATGAGCCAGAACAGTCGGGCATTCTGTCAGCTTTTTGTTTCAAGATATTCTAAGCAGCTGTATTTTTCCTCTATGTGCATAATTTCTTGGGATTCTCATGTGTGGTTCCAGGCTTTGCTGTCAGTCAGCACAGAGACACAGCAGAAGTGAGGGACAGAAATTCTAGAGCCCCCAGCAGCACCTGTACTTACCCTGCTCATTGTTCCCTCCATTTAACAGAAGTTCATCATTCTGTCTTTTCATTTCTGTTATGTACTTAAAGGCCTGATCCAGGATCATGTTCTTGCTCTGTAAAAGAAAACACACATATAAAATTAGGAGAAATGTCTAGAATTTGTAAATTCATTAGTGATGAGGCTGCACTTACTCCAAGAGGTTTTTGCTTTAAAAATATGCTCTGAATATAACTGGGTAGAGCTGGTTTTCTACTGGCTTGGGTTGGGTTTTTTAGATGTTGTTTTTTGGTTTGGTTGCTTTTGTAAGATGAAACTACAGGCTTTTCTGAGTGATGCTGACCCTAAAATGCCTTGAGATTTTACAGAACAACATTTTCAATGCTGGAGCTGACACCTTCTGATGCCCAGAGGAAGATACTAAGGCCACAGATCCTGAACAGGCAGCATCCTTTCTCACTGATCAGCCTAAAATTCATGTTCACTAATAAACATACACATCACATGAGATTTCCAGGATACTGCCTTGTAAATATTTTATTAGAAAGGCAAGAAACATGGAACAACTATCCAGGGATATATATGCATAATTTTGAAAATAGTATACAAGGAAATATGGGAAGGGAAAATGACCCATCCACAATCATCTTTTTATGAAGCTATGCTTATTCTGTCTGCAAAACCTTTGTTCACTTCTTAATTTCTTCTACTGTTCAGTAAGAACAATCTCTGCTAGGGATTCCTCTATCTTGAAAAAGATGCTTCTGTGCATCAACCTCAAAGCATTTGTCTTGCTTCATCTTTTGCAAGGAGAGTGTCTTAAATCACCATTATTATAATTTCAGTTTCTGAATTGCTTTCAAGGCATTATATGAAGGATGACAAAAATAAGCAGTCATATGCAACACTTTCAGATAAAACGCTCAAAATCTGTGTAACTACATTCATGTGACCCTGCACTTCCAAGTAGGACTTCTATTACAAGTAGTTTTTAAAATACTAATAACTAGTAATATTTTTGAGTATATTAATTCAGACAGTTTGCCTTTTGCTAATACAAGTACTGAAATAGGTATTTAGACTTCTACAGACAAAGAAACATTTGGACATTTGACAGGAAACTTGTGTGCACCTCTGGATGGACACTCACCTGTTTAAGTGCTGGGGAGCAGGGAATGAGTTCTCCAATTCTGTTTATCCCAGCATTAATCTTCTTCTTTCGATGTCTCTCCACTAAGCAAAAACAATATATACTGTGTCATCTGGTTGGGCAAGGCAGCATAACTAGGATAATGTAAGGGCTCAGAAATACATTATTTCATTATACATTGGAACCTGTGTAACATTTTTCCTTGAGTGAGGAAAAATGTTCTTCTAAATTAAACCTCAAAGTTATCAAATTAATACTCACTAGAATCAAAGAGCCATAACTTAAATAGCCTTTAAAAGGTGGGGATATATTAGACCCCTTCATGAAAAAGTAAAGTACCTACAACTCAAAATTTAGGTTTTGAAACTTCTTTCTAACACAGTTTTATGCCACTCTCTTCATAAGGCAGATTAAATTTGAAATTTATTAAATTTATGCATACAGAAAGCAAATGAACAAAGATTATGGAAAAAATCGGTTTCAGATTTGGGAAGCAAATCAATGCCTCTTAAATTCTAATGTCAAATTTAGCACCAAAAGAGAAATAATGTAGATTTTACCAGTCTTCAGGCTAAATTTTAAATTTATATTAACAGAGTAGCCAGCCAACACTGAACGTAGGTGAAGCTCCAGGTACATGGACTATCAGATACTCTTTTCTATGTCCAAAAGTTTAACTGTTCCATAAGGTCTAACTGGTTGGGAGAAAGAAAATACTGAATGGAGAGTAGTTCCAGTGAACTACCTATTTTGGAGCAGGTCAGAAAATGTCAGAAAATGCTTCATTTATAATCTTCTAGTGATACCATTTACCTCTTCAACAGGTCTGAATATTGGCAGAAAGGGTCTACACTCTCAGTCTAGGAGTGGTTTTTACAGACAGTATCTCTGTTTTCCATCCACCACAGCCTCTTTCAAATATAGTTAACTCTCATGTAGCTATTTTTTTTACTGAAATATTTTCATGTTCTATGCAAACGTAAAACTATTAGATGTCTTTAAAAATGAAAAAAAGGAAAAAGTTCTCTCATGGCTTTGTTAGGACTCAAACCATTGTGTTGTTCATGATGCTGAATGAACATTTTGGTTTGTGCAGTTGCTCTGCTTTTGGTGGCACACAGAAACAAACTGTGACCTTCAGGTGAGTGTATTTCATTTGGGTCAGTTACAAAAGACTCATTAATTTAATTTAAATAGTCTTATTTCAGTAGCCTGTCACTTCAATTTACCTTTCTCAAACAATTTTTTTTTTTATTTCAGGAGAGACTGCTGGCATTGACAGAAATAGGCCTAAATACACTAAACACAGCAAGACAAAGTTTCTTATGCAAGAAATTTACCATATAAATTAGAGGACCTCTGTAAAAATTAAAACACAGGACACTTGGGATTTAATCTTTATCTACTTTACTAATACATACAGATATCACAGTGTTTGTGAAGTGCTACTCTTTTGTTTTGGTAATATTTGCAACACTCTCCTCAGCTTTTCCATATATTAATGACTAAGAAAGTATAGGTTTGGAAGGAGCTGGTCCCCATATACTGCAGAGTTCAGCCCAGGTGATAAAGATTTTGGAAAGCTATCAACAAGCGAAACAGGAACTGGGAATTCCAATGAGGCCAACCATTTTAGAAGTAAACCTGATAAGACAGTTTCCTGATTCTTCTTAATTCTTAAGAAACTGGCCACACCCTGAGCACACTCAGCAAGCACAGCCCTGCACAGGTTTCACATGGAAACTGCTGAGTGCTTTTTCCAGCTGAGTTTGTGAAGATCACACGATACTGCTGTTCAGAAAACAACTCTGCAATCAATTTCTTTGGATAAACCAGCTCAAAGCCTGCCAGACTCCTCCCCAGTCCATCCTTCTGTTCCTACTTGTAGAAGATGCCATTGGCACTAGAACTGACTGGGTGCTGCCCAAGGCATGTGACTCCTGAAATGTACAGCCAACATTTGCACAGAATTTCTGGGGTGTCCACATCCAAGTGGGTGCCTTAGGAGTAGGTTGGAGGAATGCTTCCAATCCAGGGAGCCTAAAGCTCTCAGGTAGGACACCTGTCTCTGTTTTGACAGAGGTGGACACTGGTTGCATGTGAATGCCTGTGCAGTTGTTTTCCTTTGGAATTGAACACAGCTGAAATTGTTTACTTCTTAATTTACTAGCCTTGGAAAGGCAGGTGCTCCTTCATGCTTTAACTTTGTACTGTGGAAACCAGCAAACCAGAAACAATCTGCAAAGTTATTTTATGCAAGGACACAGAAAGGTGTTTGGTAGGGTGAGGCTTTTTCAATATACTAAACTCCTGTGTGGGAACCTTCTCCATGTAAACTATGTTTTACTGCTCCAAAGTGTCTGTGCTTATTTCCAGACCAAACAGCAAAGCATGATGTTCCCACCTGCATTATGTGTCTCCCGGTTTTTCTTTCTGTGAAACATAAAGGGAAAAGATTCATGTGAAACTCAAAGATCTGCATACAAACAAAAATTTCTTATATTATTTCTACTACAGCTAAAATTACTAATTATCATAGTCTTCTCTGTGAACTAGAATAGCAGAAGTCACAATCAGATGTTCTTAGACATTGGAATTAAACAGTTTCTAATAAAAATTTGTTCATGTTCAGCCTTAAATCAATTGGAGTACAACAAGTCAGAGTGCAATACTCACTTGACTATTGGTATATATTTATAGTGGAGAGCTGGGTTTTTATGTTCCTGTTACACTATGCAGTGTTCAAAAAAAGCCAAAGATTTTTTAAAAATAGTTTTGTTTGTGAGGAACAAGACAGTTAAGTATTTGCCTGAAATGTTGCTTTTACATTTACTGGATCACTGAAATAGGAGAAAATTTTACCATGCAAGTTGATTTTCCAGCCACATTGCCTTCAAACATCATAACTTCTGGTATCAAAGAGGCTTCCTTTGTGAGAGAAACCAAAAATACTGTTCCTCTGCAGCTGCTGTTCTTTAATGTCTCAAAATTCTGAATAGGTTTGATTTCAGCATGTGAGGGTTGTCTTTGGTTTCATACATTCACCTGGACTATTGGACTGATGACAACAATCAATGTGCAATGCCCCAAATTGCTTTACTGGCAGTCAATAAATTTCAAAAATATTTATTTAAAATCTTCAAAGCCTACATATATAAATAAGATGTACTATACACATGCACTAAGACAATTACTTCCAGGATGTACAGTAAAGAAAAGCACATGTTTTTTGGATAAAGCAAAATTCCAGAAAAAAACAATTTCACAAAGCTCCTGCCCAGCAGCACATTCTCAGTTTAGATGTTTCCTAGGGCATGCAAAAAGCAGAGTAGCATCTTCTGCTGTCCTTTTTGACTGTTACAGAACAGTCCAGATGTGACAAAGAATGTGAGGTAAGAATGCATGATACATGTGGCAGTTATGTGTGATTACCATGAGGCACAGTACATCTGTCCTTTGTGCTTTGAGTTGATGCTGATTTCCGGTAGCTCACTAAAGATAGCGTGCACCTACAGTAACTTAGACAAGGACTATGAGACTGTAAAGTTACTGCTACAGGTCAGACCCAGAGACATCTGCTAAGAAACAATGCTTAAAGGTGATCATTAATACTAAATATGCACAAGAACATAAGGACTGGACAGACCCAGCTGTCCTTTGGTTGACATTACCATTACAGAACACAAAATACTCTGTTAGTCAGGTAAGAAAGAGTCGCGAAATCTGACTGAAATCAGACTGAAAAACCTTCTGCAGGACAAATCAGTGTTCTCTCTGAGCTTTTCCTGATCATAAATCATATCCTACATGCTTAGCTAGTGTAAGATGAATGCTGCATTTAACTAAGGACTGAAGAACCCCCTTACCAATCAGGTATTAGATGACCCATGTTAAAACAAAGGAACAAAATCCTGGAACAGTTCTAATGAGTGCTGAGAGGACTTTGTTACAAAGTTTGGTCATAGTGTTGCTGTACAACCTCAAGGCATAGTTTGTGCTCCTGCAGAGATTTAAGATGTAAGATCCAGATTCCACTGGGAGTTGAGGAAGAGCTCTAAAGACCCTGTCAAAATTAGTGTAGTTACTCCCTGATATCTACAAGGAGCCTCCACAAAAATACAGACTGTGCTCTAACCAAGGCAGCAACACAGTTTTACACAGGTCAGAATAGTCAGTGAAATAATTAAAGAATCTCTTTTGCCTAAGTGACCCAGGTAGATGTATCTTTAACAAACAGTTTGGCATAGACAGGGCAAGAGAGAAACTTTTGGATCAATCCTGATGAGCATACAGAACTGCCTGTCCATACCCTTATTGCCAAACTTTTAGCTAGAAACTTTGTAACTGCAACATGACTGCAGACTACAGGCCTAGGAAATAGTCCCTTTCCCACTGGAACTCACCGATGCTGCTTCTTAGTAGGTGTCTCATTCTCTGTCATCTCTGGCATGGTTTCGGAGAAGAGAGCCTGAGGAAACATCATGGAAGGTATTAACAACTCCTGCACTTTCCTGGATCCTCAGCCCATGACATTTACATGGCTTTGCAAGGACCACAAGGACAGGGCCCTGTTACAGTGTAGGCACAAGTGCATGCCCTTGACTCAGAGCAGCTGATTTTGTGACATTAAAAATTAAGCACGTTACCTATCGAGATGTTTCGCAAAAGCTGTCTGTGATGAACTGGTTTCCATTTCCTCAATTACTTTAAATATAAAAACTATTATAATCCCAACCACTTTCAGCAAACAAGAAGGATAGTTAAGAATATGACTGCTTTTCAAATGGGAGGAGGAATAGCTGAACTCTCTCTCATCAGCCCTTCCTCACTGAATATGTATTCAATTCCCAGTTCAAAATAGGGTATGAATGCCAAGCAAAAAACAAGCTACAATGAGGACATTTCATTAACTACAAATTTAGAGTGCTCTTAATGTAGCAGATTACAAAACTTACTTGGTATTAAATTACTGTACACCTCAAAACAACCAAAAATGACACCTCTAGGCTCTCAGATATGTATAATTCAGCTAAAATTAAAATTATGTATACCAGCCTAATGAATTGCATCTAACTTGTCCTCATCTTGAACAGACTGGTAGCCTGTATTTAGACAAACAAAAACATTTAAAAAATACACAAAATATGAGATTAAGTTAATGATGGTTGAACAGATATCTACCACAGAAATGAATTTTAGAGAGCAAGTAAAGTAAGTATACTGTAGATGACGACAGGAAAAAATAGATCTTGTTTTTGATGTGTCTGAGCTCTGTATTCACTTTCACAGCTCCTTTCAGTCTCTCACCAACCAACCTGTTATTGCAACTCTTCCCATGGGCTCTCAAACTCCTTGTGGCTTCCCCTTTCTCTGGCTCCTCCTGAAAAGCTCACTGGCTTCTTTTAACAGCCTTCATATCTTTGGGGTATTTTTTGTCTGTTTGTTTGAACTGCAGGAAGTGGAGGTGGTTTTTAATATAACTTTAAACACACAGCAGTTCTTAATGTAAACTGAGCCTACCACTACTGGCACTGACATCAAAAACAAACCCCCAAAATAATATCCTTGCAAACCAGAAGGCCAGACACCTATGGAGCTCCCAAAGCACTGAAGCATACACTCCACTAAGTGCTCCGTGCACACACCTGTGTGTGTCAAACTAACAGAAATCATCTATATTGCACCAGAACTGAATTCAGATACTGCTTTCCAGCCTTTATACTCTAGAAGTTAATTGAATGTTGTGCATTCAGTAAAAATTAGAGTAAACATTAGGGCTGATGCTGGTTACCACTCTAATCTTTCTTTCTGTGTTCCAGGGAAGACTTGGGAGATGTTGGCAAACCATAAAATAAAGCAAACAGGAAACAACCTATTAATAGATCCAACTCAGGAACTCAAAGTGCCTGAAGATTTCAGGAACATAATTCAACTCCACCTACACGACAGTGTTCACACTATCACAAAACTGGACACAATCCTCTCTGAGTTACAGCATTCCATTGCCCCACTGGGTGTTACACACAGCCTACCTAAACACAAACCTCTCCAGCCCAGCAATGGGAATACATCACTTTCTGTTTATATCCCTCCATGGACTTTGCTTTCTCCGTGCTCACCTGACCACCCCCTGCATAAATTATGAAAACACCTGACAGAGTTAACAGTCTTTTATTGTGGGAGAAAGTGGTGCAACTTCAGCACACTCTTATAAATTGTGTTACCTCATCTTAAAAACAAGATTTCTTCTCCTTTAAATCCAATTAGCTTACTTCACTAACAAATTTATTTGAGTTTATACATAGTAAGAGTAATCCAGTTGTTGTGCCAGGTTGTCCAAGTCAGTAAACACAACTCTGAATGCCAGGAGAGGCAGTTTCCCACCAAGGCATCTCTAACTTATCCCTCCTGGGTACAGCTGGTGATGGTCAGTAGTACGTACTGATTCTACCTGATTCTACCTGGTGAGGAAAGGGTTAACTGGGAGACCTTAGCAGGTGAGTGATTTTGATTATAACAAAAAACCAAAACCTGGTTAGAGCCCAGCCATCTTGGATGCTGTTGGCAACCAGAGAGATGTTCAGGTGTACAGGGAGTGACTGGGGCCAGCACACCTTTCCCAGCTCCAGTGAGCCAAGGCAGCCCAGCTGAACCTTTATCCATCAAGGCTTCCAGCAGGGACAGGAGAAGCAGAGCAGCTGCCTGGTGACACTGCACTCATGTATCCATCACCGAGGCAGCACCTTGTGCAGCAGGTGAAATAACTACTCAAGGAGCAAAGGGGTAATTTAATTTACTGTGTCCAGTACGGTTTCTGTTTAGTGAGGATGTGAGCACATGGACACAGCTCTGGTAAAGCAAAGCTCTAAAACAAGTTGAGGAAAAGGATTGTATCATGTGGCAGTCGCATACCCTGTTTCTTGATTTCTGCACCACCTATAAAGCCAGAGCTGATGTGTCTGTTGTTGGGCATTATGAGACCATAGCAAATATGCTGGAAATCATAGCAAACAGATAAAAGAGGCCTTAGTTTTGGTGGACTTTGCATTTTTGAAAGACTAATGTATTCACCAAGCAATGGTATTGTTTTTTAATTTTGTAGATTTATACAGCTTGAGAAGCAAAGGACTATTTCTGTATTGCAGTGTATTTAACCCAGAAAGCATCAGTGTGGATTTAGATGGCCAGCTACCACACAGGGCTACAGATGAAGCACAACTGTGTGAAGGTAAGGGCATAAAGAAGCACCCAGCCGCAAATACCCTTCCCCAGAACAGACATGGCTGTTCTGACCCCAGTTGCACAGTCTGGAACACATTCACAATCCCATCCTCCCCCTGCCCTAAGTCACAGCACCCTTTCTCCCTCCTGACATGAGTTCTCCTTACTCCTACATTGTGGCTCCTTCTGTGTCCACTCAGCAAAGTTCTTCTTCTTAACAGCAGCCATCCCTACCTCCCAAAGTCATGATACACACAATATTCCAATTGCCTTATTTCTTCATGCTAAGCATATGCCAAAATGATTCAGCAACTCATTGTATGTAGCATTCTGGAAGATAGACAAGGCCTTAGTGAAAATTTGTGCGGTTATTTATTAGTACAGTTTCTAACCATTTTTTGATCCTGAAAAAGAATAGAAAATCTTTATTATAAGTCAAAGACCCCACTTCTTTCTTTCTCCTCTGCCCTTTTTTTAAATGGTATCAGTAAACTTCTTCCAAGTGATGCTGTTCCCTGCATATTTCAAGCCATTTGCTGCCACACTGAGTGTATAAGCCTCACAAATGTAACCTTAAAGTCTGCATTTTATATGTTTCATTTCCACTGGGATCTGCAGCCCATTTCATATAGAAAACATGGCACAGGAATGCCATGACTGTTACCCTAATTTCACCTTACTGTGGATTTACTTCAGGTGAAGTTTTTCAGTTCACCACTCAATCAATGCTCTCACTTTTGTGGTCCTGATAGCAAAAGCAAGGCTGTACACATTATCTAATGAACAAATTAGTTTATTGTGAGCTCCACTGAAAAGAGGTGGTTAAATTTGTTAAACAACACTTGTATAAAACTCTGGGCTTTCTACTGACAGATTGTACCTAAGAGAAATGATTGTACCTATGAGAAATATCTGAACTGAAGCTGTATTCTTATTCTGTAAGGACAGAAACTTTTGCATTTTATTTGGTATTCCACAGAACAGCTGAAGCTGGCAATACCAGGGAGGAGGTTTTCTTAAGGGCTGCTGAAAATATGGGCTTTGTGAATTAAAAAGAAATTTAAAATAGTGCCTAGGTGGAGATTTCTGAGGGCTGATGAATGTTTACATGGTCTCAATTTCTCCCCCTCAGCTGTCGTATGACCAGAGCTTTGACAGAGAGTTTTCCATTACTTGTTCCACATCAAGTATTTATTCTTCATCAAGATCCCTTCATGGATTCTCTAAAAAGTTCACTCATGAAATATGCTCACTTAACTCAGCTGAATGCCATCTGCAGAGAAAACGTAGCAAAATCCAAATTCTTAAAACAGATGAAGAAGCAGCAACTCATCATTTATATTTATTTAGTACCAAGCTTCCCTTAAGCTTTGTGTAGTTAACAGCTTTCACAACATCAACCTAAAATATTGATTTTAATTTAAATGCAATATCATCCTCAGAAATTAAAGGATGCTTTGTGTTCTGAAGATTTAAATTTAACATAATTTAATCTCTTCTATAGTTCTGAAACATAGGGTATAAAACCTGAAAACCAATTTATTTAAATATCTTCTTGTATACCACCCATCTTTCCAGGTAGTATTTAGCAAATTTTATGAAATCTCTTCTTCAAAACATGCATTCAGCAAATACAATAAAAAGTTATTAGATATTTTTTGGCATTATTTTTTCACTCCTTATTTAGGAATTGTTTCCAAACTTAATTTTTAAAAAGAAAATAATTATTCCAATCTGTTATCTTTAGCTGTACAAAACAATCTCCCTCAAATTAGTAAAGCCATTCCATTCTTCTGCATCAGGCAGGAAGAATCATTTTTATATGCAACTTCACATATTCTGCAAACCTACCAGCAGTCCAAATCTTTCTTCCTCTGAATCTCCTTCAGCAAGCTCGTGCTGTGACACTGCTTCAGTCTCAGTTCTTACAGGTTTTGTACACCTCGTGTAGTTAGTAATGCAATGTAATGTAATGTAATGTACACCTCTTAATGTAAAGCTAAGATCAATTCCAAGGCACAGACAAGAACCACTCAAATGCTTTTTTCCTGACACAGTGTCTTCTTCATCCAAGCAACTGCTGGAGCTCACTTCTCCAATCTTCCATGCATGTTTTAGAACAAGGCTAGCTTTAATCAGGGACCTAGTCCCAGCTTTTAATGACAAGCAAGGTGCCCTTGAAATCAAGAGACAAAATTTACTGCCCCTTCTTTATTCCCCCTTGGAATGGATCTATTCTAATGTTGT